TGGGTGTGTGTGTGGTGGAGAGGTGAGTGAGTGAGTGTGGGTGTGAGAGGTGAGTGTGTGTGGTGGAGAGGTGGGTGAGTGTGGGTGTGAGAGGTGAGTGTGTGTGTGTGGTGGAGAGGTGAGTGAGTGTGGGTGTGAGAGGTGAGTGAGTGAGTGTGTGGTGGAGAGGTGAGTGAGTGTGGGTGTGAGAGGTGAGTGAGTGTGTGTGTGGTGGAGAGGTGGGTGAGTGTGTGGTGTGAGGGGTGAGTGTGTGTGGTTGTGAGAGGTGAGTGTGTGTGTGTGGTGGAGAGGTGAGTGAGTGTGGGTGTGAGAGGTGAGTGAGTGTGTGTGTGGTGGAGAGGTGGGTGAGTGTGGGTGTGAGAGGTGAGTGTGTGTGTGTGGTGAGGTGAGTGTGAGTGTGTGTGGTGGAGAGGTGGGTGAGTGTGGGTGTGGGAGTGAGTGAGTGTGTGGTGGAGAGGTGAGTGAGTGTGGGTGTGAGAGGTGAGTGAGTGTGTGTGTGGTGGAGAGGTGAGTGAGTGTGGGTGTGAGAGGTGAGTGTGGGCGTGTGTGGTGGAGAGGTGGGTGAGTGTGGGTGTGAGGGGTGAGTGAGTGAGTGTGTGGTGGAGAGGTGAGTGAGTGTGGGTGGTGTGAAGTAGGTGAGTGAGTGCGTGTGGTGTGTGGGGAGAGGTGAGTGAGTGTGGATGTGTGTGGGGAGATGGTGGGTGAGTGTGTGGGAAGAGGTGAGTGAGTGCATGAGGGAGAGGAGGGAGGGAGGGAGAGGGGGTGGGGAGAGGAAGGTGAGAGTGAGAGGGGGGTGAGTGTGTGTGTGTGGTGGAGAGGTGAGTGTGGGTGCTGAAGGTGAGTAGTGAGTGTGTGGGGAAGAGGGTGAGTGAGTGAGTGTGTGAGGGAGAGGGGGTTGGGAGAGAAAAGGTGAGCGTGAGAGGAGAGTGTGAGTGTGTGTGCGTGTATGAGTGGGTGAAGGTGTGACCATGAAAGATCCGGGCGTGGTGGTGGTGGTGTTGGCCACGGCCAGCCCCTCGTACGCCTGCGCCTGCCCATCAGAGGTGCTGCTCGCTAACAGCGCTTGCCCCAACAGTCTGTTGAAGGCTTACAGGGGATCTGGTCTTTGATGAGCACAAGTGAAGTGCGTGGGGGCGCTCCTCACAGTGTGTGAGGGAGAGCGGAGGTGAAGGTACAAAGGTGTTTGAGTGCGAGTGTCTGAGTGTGTGTGTATGTGTGTATGTATGTGTGTGTGCGTGTGTGTGGGAGCGGTAGTGTAGCGGTTAGCTGCTACGCTGCGCTACGAACCCGGCGACCCGGGTTCGATTCCCGCTCACGGCCAACACCGTCAGTGACGATTATCTGAACCGGTCCTGGGCCTCCCTAAGGTCGACTCAGCCTCAAATGAGTACCTGGTGCGGTGGATAAAAACATTGCCACTGGGGAGACAAATGGCGGTCGGGCGTGGTGCTGGCCACCCACCCCCTCGTGTACGTTCCGACCTTCATAGGCTGCTCGCTAACAGCACTTGCCCCTACAGTCTGTTAAGGCTATATGGGGATCTTTATCTTTGTGTGTGTGTATGGCTGCTTTGGGTACGCGGTCCAGACCTCCCCAGAGACCCTGGCTGACAGAGGAGGTGTTCAGGATGGTTGAGAAAAAAGCGACAGGCCCACGCTCATCGGCTACAGCATCCCACGTCGGAGAATGAGGAGGCTTACCTCAGCCCTTCGCTCGGAGGTTCGGAGAGCCGTGAGGCGCTGCAAGGATGGGTGGTGGTCGCGGGTTGCTGTGGAGATGGAGTCTGCCTCAATGGCCCGCGATCACAAATCTCTATTTAACTCCATCAAAAAAGTAACCTGCAGCGCCACACCTATTACCATCATTAGGGGAAAGAACGGTGATCCGATCTCCTGACCCCCAGGAACAGGTTTGCAGATTTGCTTAGCATTCTCTGTGAGGTCCTGGGGGAGGGGGAATCCCTCAGCCTGGAAAACATCATGGGGACAAAGTGGGGATGACCCTGCTGAGGCTGCGGTGCCTCAAATATTGGAGGAAGAAGTCACCCCCTGTGAGTGGCTGGCTGAGGTGCCATCCATTGAGAAGTACTGAAGGCGATCCAGAGCCTGAACCAGGAAAGGCAACCGGGCAGAAATGATCTCCCAAGCGAAATGCTGAGGGATTGTGGCGTTTGTGCACAGACTGCCCTACATGACATCATAACAACAGTCTGGGACCACTGGATGGGTTCTGCAGGATTGGAAGAAGGGGGACCGCACAGACTGTAACAACTACAGGGGAATCTCAAGGATTATTCAACATCGCCTTGCTAGGCACACTGAGGAGAGGCTGGCGGAGCTCCAATACGGTTTCAGGAAAGGGCGGTCCTGAACAGATGCCATATATTCTGCCCATGTGCTACAGCAGAAGTGTAGGGAATTCCAACAAGACCTACATCTCTGCTCCATTGACCTGGTCAAGGCCTATGATACCATCAATAGGCCTGGGCTCTGGGTTGTTCTTCGTATTTTCGGAATCCCTGAGCCTCTGCTCATGATCATTAAGGACCTTCATGATACTGAGCGGGCCCGGGTAAAACTATGTGGCCGGGAGTCAGAGCCATTCCCTGTACACCTTGGGGTGCAACAGGGATGTCCTCTGGCTCCAACATTATTTAACATCTATTTCGACCACGTAGTTCGTGAAGCCTTCAGTAGCTGTACCCGAGGAATTTCCATCTGGTACAGGTAGAATGGGAGGCTGATCGATGCCCGGGTGCGGTCAAGGGATGGCTCCCTATTGGTCAACCACGTTATGTATGCGGACGACCTGGTAATAGCAGCTCACTCAGAGGAGAAATTGGAGGTGCTGCTGCTGAAACTTGAGTGTGCCACGGAGTGGTGGGGCCTTACCATCAGCCCCACCAAAACTAAGCACCTGCCTGGGTATTTTATACCATCGGACACTCCACCCCCACAACTCCCAATCGGTGATGGGGCAGTTGTGGAGAGAGTGGAGAGTTTCCCATACCTGGGCAGTGTGCTCATGACAGGCTCCGGTTTAACAGCAGAGGTCTCACTCCGAATCAGTCGAGCGGCATCATCTTTTCATCGTTGCATAAAGCTGTGTGGAAGCTACCTGGTCTGTCACTCCGCAAGAAGCTTCAGGTCTTCTCTGCCACAGTCATTCCCTCCCTTCTCTATGCTTGCGAAACGTGGACACCCCTAATGGAACACCTTCGCCAGTTAGAAACATTTAGGCTGGCCTGCCTACAATCCATCCTGGGTTTAACCAGACTGGATTGTGTGAGGAGTTCACAATTCCTCGAAAGATCTGGACAAAGTCCCATCGGTGAGCTCCTCCGGCAGGCAAGGCTGCGTTGGCTGGGCCATGTAGCCCGCATGCCCAATCACCGCATGCCCAAATCGCTTTTGTTCGGCCGGATCGAGGTGGCTAAACGGGCGCGGCACGGGCTAGAGAAGAGATGGAGTGACGTGGTACAGGAGGATGTGGAGCTGAGTGGACTTGCCAATGACTGGTACCAGCGGTGTCAAGATCGGCCTCTGTGGAGGAGGCTTGTGAAGGACGCTACTGGGCAGTTGTAGGCAGTCACCCTCCAACAACAACAGAGGGTTGAGGAGCGACGCTCACAACAACGAGCGGAGCGCCGGGTGGCTAAAACACAGCAAGTTGGCACAGTAGGGGGCACAGGTGGTGCATCAGCCGGTTATCTCGGTCATCTCAGTCAGTCGACCCATGGCACCTGGGTCTGCCCCGTGACCTCCTGCCAGCGGGCATTCGACACTTCACGTGGCCTCAAGGTGCACATGGCCTGGCACAAGCGTCGTGGTGACGTCACCGCCACTTAGTGGCGAAAGGCGGTTGTTGTTGTATATACAGCTCACAACTGGAGGGCTCTCGCTCCCCAGTTAATGCATTCAGCAACTGCAATGTTTACTGGAGTTCTGAGCTCAGTCTACAAACTATAAAACTATTAACTATTTTTATTTTACAGGTCAGGACCACTGAGCCGGGATAGCTCTTTTTCAGAAGCGACCTGGCCACTAAATGATGGCTCAACGGAGTGGAAATGTACAGCAGCCAAATACTCTGAACGCGTGACGTCGATTCTCAACGTGGAGGGAAAAAAACGGAAGACCCAGAGGAAAAATCCACGAGGAGAACACGCAAACTCCAAATATACAGCAGCAGGCGTCAGGGTCGGGATTGAACCCACGAGCTTATGTATACCAGGCGAGGTCGTAAACATCTCTCCACCATATTCTTGGTTCTTTCGGTAAAGTCACGTAGAAGGGAAACAATAAAATAATAAAAATATCTCTCCACCAGTCATTGCAACAGTCCCTAGCCTGATAAAAGTTTAGTGTCAGCGTATGTGTGGGTGCCCCCACCTGGAAAGAGAAATCAAAGTTCTATCCGGCCCTCTGGCAAAAGCTCTCTCCCCACCGCCGTCCTATACTTCGGGTAATGAACACGATTAATAATTCAACACATTTGGTATTCGCGCCAATCTGAGAACCGCAGGGGCCATCACGAATGAAGGCGCCATTTCACAGACGGGTATACGCTGCCAGTAGGGGGAAGGGGCGACGTTGCCAAGTGGTTTCACCCATGGCCTCTTGTATACCAGGCGAGGTAGTGAACATCTCTCCACCGCGCCGCCCCTACGGCCCCTATCGTCATCATCATTATCATCACGGCTCTGTCGTACCAGGCAAGGTCCACCAAGCCATACAGCTCTTTTCCAGAAGCGAGCTGGCCACACAAAATGACAGCTCAACCAAGCGGCTTCTCACGTGGCAAAGTAATAGCGGCCAATTACTCTAAAAGCGTGTGGATTCTAAACGAGGTAGTTAACATCTCTCCACCGCGGCGCCCCGACCGCTCCTACCGCCCCTACCGCCCCTACCGCCCCTACCGCCCCTACCGCCATCTGCCGTCCATCATCCCACTGGTGCTCACGCGGAAACCCCCCCCCCCCCCCGGCGCCGGGCACCGACCCTGTTGAAGAACACAGCTCCGTCGTACACCACGAAGCCCGTGCCATCGACGCGGTGCGGCAGCTTGTAGTTGGTGAGCGGTCGCCTGGCCAGGATGTCCTGGAGGGAGGCGTACTCCACGAGTCTGTCGGTGCGGAACGGCGTCCACGGCATGACGTACACCTTGTCGGTGGCCTGCAGCGGGTCGCGGCACCACGAGCCGGCCTGCTGCTTCGCCTCCAGGAGGTGCGAAGCCTCGCCAACGAGGAGGACGCTGCCCGGGCACGGGAAGACTGCCCAGGGAAAACGAGGGACAGACGAATGAACGAACGGTCGGGTCAGGGATTCGCGGCTGCTCCCTAAGTTGATATTCTATCAACTGAAAACGTTTTTTTTATTCTTGGTTCTTTCGGTAAAGTCACTACCACGTAGAAAGGAAACAATTAAATAATAAAAATATAAAACAATTACATTCTCACGACGTTTCGACTGCAACACAAGCAATCATCATCAGGTGTGAAAACCACAGCAAGAAAATTTGAAAAAAAAAATAACCGCCACTTTTTTCAAATTTTCTTGCTGTGGTTTTCACACCTGATGATGATTGCTTCTTGTGTTGCAGTCGAAACGTCGTGAGAAGTTTATTGTTTTATATTTTTATTATTTTATTGTTTCCCTTCTATGTGGTGACTTTACCGAAAGAACCAAGAATATTAATCCCTGCAGTCACAAAAGCTTTAAATAAAAAAATTAAAACTTTTTTTAATATTTGAGCAGGTAAGGCCCACTGAGCCACGAAACTCTTTCGCCGAAGCAACTTGGCCACACAATTGACAGATCAACGAAAGTTTCTTATCATGTGGAAATGCACAGCAGTGTCCAAATACTCGCAATGCGTGACGTTGATTCTACACGCGGAGGGAGAAACTGGAGGACCCGGCGAGAACTCCACATGACCACAGGGTTAACGTGCAAGCTTCCAAGTATACAAGCCTCAGGGTTGGGATCGAACCCACGACCTCCTGTATACCAGGCGAGGAAGTTGACACCCCGCCACCGTTTGCATGCGTGTACTGATGGGCGTATGTTAACATGGGTGCCGTCTGCATCGCAGCAGAGCCTGATGAAGCCGAATTTGAGCAGGTAAGGCCCACTGAGCCACGAAACTCTTTCGCCGAAGCAACTTGGCCACACAATTGACAGATCAACGAAAGTTTCTAATCATGTGGAAATGCACAGCAGTGTCCAAATACTCGCAATGCGTGACGTTGATTCTACACGCGGAGGGAGAAACTGGAGGACCCGGCGAGAACTCCACATGACCACAGGGTTAACGTGCAAGCTTCCAAGTATACAAGCCTCAGGGTTGGGATCGAACCCACGACCTCCTGTATACCAGGCGAGGAAGTTGACACCCCGCCACCGTTTGCATGCGTGTACTGATGGGCGTATGTTAACATGGGTGCCGTCTGCATCGCAGCAGAGCCTGATGAAGCCGAATGTCCACAGGGAACGATCGCGTTTCTTAAACATGCACATGTGGCATGTGCATCGGGAGCTTAGCGTGTGGCATACATCGACTGATTCATCGTCGCACGTCGGTTACAGTGAGGGAAAAAAAGCATTTGATCCCCTGTTGATTTTGTACGTTTGACCACTGACAAAGAAATGATCAGTCAATAATTTTAATGGTAGGTTTATTTGAACAGTGGGAGACAGAATAACAACAAAATCCAGAAAAACGCATGTCAAAAATGTTATAAATTGATTTGCATTTTAATGAGGGAAATAAGTATTTGACCCCCTCTCAATCAGAAAGATGTCTGGCTCCCAGGTGTCTTTTATACAGGTAACGAGCAGAGATTAGGAGCACACTCTTAAAGGGAGTGCTCCTAATCTCAGCTTGTTACCTGTATAAAAGACACCTGTCCTCAGAAGCAATCAATCAATCAGATTCCAAACTCTCCACCATGGCCAAGACCAAAGAGCTCTCCAAGGATGTCAGGGACAAGATTGTAGACCTACACAAGGCTGGAATGGGCTACAAGACCATTGCCAAGCAACTTGGTGAGAAGGTGACAACAGTTGGTGCGATTATTCGCAAATGGAAGAAACACAAAAGAACTGTCAATCTCCCTCGGTCTGGGGCTCCGTGCAAGATCTCACCTCGTGGAGTTGCAATGATCATGAGAACGGTGAGGATTCAGCCCAGAACTACACGGGAGGATATAGTAATAGGTTTTACCCTTTTTAACTGGCATCAATGATCTCAAGGCAGCTGGGACCATAGTCACCAAGAAAACAATTGGTAACACACTACGCCGTGAAGGACTAAAATCCTGCAGCGCCCGCAAGGTCCCCCTGCTCAAGAAAGCACATATACATGCCCGTGTGAAAGTTTGCCAATGAACATCTGAATGATTCAGAGGACAACTGTGTGAAAGTGTTGTGGTCAGATGAGACCAAAATGGAGCTCTTTGGAATAAACTCAACTCGCCGTGTTTGGAGGAGGAGGAATGCTGCCTATGACCCCAAGAACACCATCCCCACTGTCAAACATGGATGTGGAAACATTATGCTTTGGGGGTGTTTTTCTGCTAAGGGGACAGGACAACTTCACCGCATCAAAGGGACGATGGACGGGGCCATGTACCGTCAAATCTTGGGTGAGAACCTCCTTCCCTCAGCCAGGGCATTGAAAATGGGTCGTGGATGGGAATTCCAGCATGACAATGACCCAAAACACATGGCCAAGGCAACAAAGGAGTGGCTCAAGAAGTTTCCAGACCTTAATTCCATAGAAAATCTGTGAAGGGAGCTGAAGGTTCGAGTTGCCAAACGTCAGCCTCGAAACCTTAATGACTTGGAGAAGATCTGCAAAGAGGAGTGGGACAAAATCCCTCCTGAGATGTGTGCAAACCTGGTGGCCAACTACAAGAAACGTCTGACCTCTGTGATTGCCAACAAGGGTTTTGCCACCAAGTACTAAGTCATGTTTTGCAGAGGGGTCAAATACTCATTTCCCTAGTAAAAATGAAAATCAATTTATAACATTTTTGACATGCGTTTTTCCGGATTTTATTGTTGTTATTCTGTCTCTCACTATTCAAAAAAACCGACCATTAAAATTATAGACTGATCATTTCTTTGTCAGTGGGCAAACGTACAAAATCTGCAGGGGATCAAATACTTTTTTTTCCCTCACTGTAAATACTCGGGTGAAATAAAACCCGTCGTGGACACAGGCAATTCAGCTGTTGCAACAGAAACAGCTGGCATGCAGAGAATTGTGGGGTTTCCCAGGACGCGCCGAGGCTTAGCCTAAACGAATTTCGACTGAAGGTGTTGTTACTGGGATTGCCGCAAAATATTTTTTCGCGATACGCCATCAAATTTCACAACGGGACGATTTCCCAATATTCGTTGAGGCGCTCGTACTTAGCACGGCGTTAGTTCCGGTTGCAATCAATGCAGTCTCCGAGGCTTATGAACGCACGGCGCAGACGGCCACGTCAGAAACGCGGTCGGCAATTACGCGAACCGTGGCAACGACGATGTCACATAGTCGCCACGCCGTCAATGAACCCCGGAAAATTGTTGGGAACCCGTCGGTTCGATTTTATAATAACTTTTGGTGAGCGCACGCGCAGTTGAATTGTTTGGTTTTGACAGCCGTTACCTCAAGCTCGGCGTGGTACGGGCGTGCGTTTGTGCGCTTGTGCGTTTCGTAATCACGCCGAACATCTTCCAGTCCGCAAGGCGGAATGGAAAAGGCACCCGGATTAGTTTGCCTCTGTGGATGTGTAGGTTTTGACTTTAACATAGCCATTCCTGTGACCAGTCACAAGCTAATCACTCAGCTCTTTCAATGCTAAATTCTCCTGTTTGATTTGTACTAGGTGCCTCTGTGGATGTGTAGGCTTTGACTTTAACATAGCTATTTCTATAACCAGTCACAAGCTAATCACTCAGCTATTTCAATGCTAAATTCTCCTGTTTGATTTATACTAGGTGCCTCTGTGGATGTGTATGTTTTGACTTTAACATTGCCATTCCTGTGACCAGTCACAAGCTAATCCCTCAGCTATTTGATATGTAAACCCCTTTGTCAAGGTGCCTCACTTTAAAAGTCGCTACGAATCTTAACACCGTTCATTGAAGCTCTGTCACCCTGAAGACGGCCCGCTTGCGTTGTGGCCGAAACGTCGTGAGAATTTTATTGTGTTATTTTATTATTTTATTCTCATTCTACGTGGTGACTTTTACCGAAAGAACCAAAGAAGATGATGAATCCTTGCAGTCACGAAAGCTTTAAATCGAAGAAAAAAATGCACCCGGATTAAGTTGCCGATAGCCGCAGCGAGATAGAGTAACGGATGCGGAGTGCCAGGTGCACACAATAAAAAAGTGTATGGGGTCAGTGGTGGACTGCAAGCGATTAGCACGCCGACCTTTGAACCCGGTAACCCCAAACTAAATTCGTGCTTACGTGAGCCCAACAGCAGCGGCGATTATTATTTAAACCCGTCACGGGCCTCCACCCTTTGGTTTGACCGGTGCGGTGTGCAGTAGTAAAACATCGCTGGCAACTGGGGAAGACAAAGGCGGCCGGGCGTGGTGGTGCCGCCCGCCCGCATCCACCCCACGCCCCCTCGTGTAACGCCGTAGCGGCCTTCACGTCGTGCCGCTCGCTACGAGCACTTGCCCCCCACAGCCTGTCGAAGGCTGTGGGGGGCATCGCGAGGTGTCCCCGTGAACCCCCGGTGACGACGAGCTCGAATATCTCTCTCGCTCGCGGCCAAAATCGGCAACGATTAACCTCGACCGGTACCCGTGCCTGCCCCTAGGTCGACTCGGCATTTAGTTCGTAGCTGGATGCAGTGTACGAACACGGCCGCTGGGGGAGACAAAGGCGGCCGGGCGTGGTGCTGCCCGCTCACCCACGCCCACCACGTGTACCACAGTAGCGGCCTTCACGTGGTGCTGCTCACCCACCACGTGTACCACAGTAGCGGCCTTCACGTGGTGCTGCTGCTGCTGCTGCTCGTGGACGGCGCTCGCCACGGCAGCCTGTCAAAGGGCGTCACGTGGTGGTGGTGATCTTTGTGTGCGTGTGTGTGTACGTGTGTGTGTACGTGCGTGTGTGTGTGTGTACGTGTGTGTGTGTACGTGCGTGTGCGTGCGTGTGTGCACACGCGTGTGCGTGTGTATGAGTGGGGAGCGGTAGTGTACCGGTTAGCGCTACGCTGTGCTATGAACCTGGCGACCCGGGTTCAATTCTCGCTCACGGCCAACACCAGTAACGATTATCTGAACCGGTCCCGGGCCTCTCCTAGGTCGACTCAACCTCAAATGAGTACCTGGTGCGGTGTGTAAACATCGCCACTAGGGAGACAAAGGCGGTCGGGCGTGGTGCTGGCCACCCACCCCCTCGTGTACCGTGCCGGCCTTCATAGGTGCTGCTCGCTAACAGCACTTGCCCCTACAGTCTGTTACAGGCTACACGGGGGATCTTTGTCTGTGTGTGTGCGTGTGCGTGCGTGTGGATGCGGCGTGCCAGGTGCAAACAGAGAGCTACAATATATATTAAACAAAAAACATCTCAGTGGGCGCCTTAACTGGTTTAAATAAAATAAAAATAGTGAAGAGCCTCGTTACCGGTTGCGGGAGGCCAACCGCTCGCTCCCGGCAGCTTCAGCAGCAGCAGCTGGGCTTGAAGCAGCTGCAGCAGCTGGGCTTGAAGCAGTCTCCAGCTGCCCATCGTGAACGTCCGCGGGACGTCGTCAGCGTGAGACGGAGCGACCTCTGACCTCTACCGGCAAGGACTAAAATTTTAACACACTTCCCCAATGTCGTATCGACTACTGTAAAACTTGCTATACGTACGTCACACTCGTGACAATACTAGATTCTATCGTTGACAATAAAAAAATATATATCTATATTTGTAAACAATATTTATTTATATACAAGTTACGTTTTTTGGCTTGGTTCTCATTGTCCACGCTCAAGTCGAGTTGAGCCGCAAATCACCGCGGTCCCTTAGGTCGCGGCAAGCCTCGAGGGGGGCGGCCACTTCCTGGGGTCGCGTGGAGCTCAGAAACTGACATTGAGCCGCAAATCACCGCGGTCCCTTAGCCTCGAGCGGGGGGGGGGCACATCCTGGGGTCGCGTGTTGTCCAGCAACTGACGCTGAGCCGCAAATCACCGCGGTCCCTTAGGTCGCATGTAGTTCAGCATTGCGGTGAAGTTCACGGCGGTGGTGGTGGCGGTGGTGGCGGAGTTGTTACAACAAAGTTTGTTTAAATATAAACGCATTAACTTTCTCCCAAACCCCCCTCCCCGACACACATTCAGCTAACGTCTGCGTTTTTTGCTCCCACCTCGTCACTGTTTGTTGTAGTTAGACTGATGGCCTTAATCTAAAGTTGTCTTGTGGTTGTTGTGGTTGTTGTCAGCACGGTGGCTATGAGATGTTAACTACCTCGCCTGGTGTACAGGAGGTCGTGGGTTCGATCCAGACCCTGACGATGCCTGCTGCTGCTACTGTATATTTGTAGTCTGTGTCTCTCTCATCATCATCATGGTGGCTATGAGATGTTGACTACCTCGCCTGGTATACAGGAGGTCGTGAGTTTTATCCAGACCCTGACGATGCTTGCTGCTGCTGTATATTTGTAGTCTGTGTCTCTCATCATCATCACGGTGGCTATGAGATGTTAACTACCTCGCCTGGTCTACAGGAGGTCGTGGGTTCGATCCAGACCCTGACGATGCCTGCTGCTGCTGTATATTTGTAGTCTGTGTCTCTCATCATCATGGTGGCTAGGAGATGTTGACTACCTCGCCTGGTATTCAGGAGGTCGTGGGTTCGATCCAGACCCTGACGATGCCTGCTACTGTATATTTGTAGTCTGTCTCTCTCATCATCATCACGGTGGCTAGGAGATGTTGACTACCTTGCCTGGTATACAGGAGGTCGTGGATTCGATCCAGACCCTGACGATGCCTGCTGCTGCTGTATATTTGTAGTCTGTGTCTCTCATCATCATCACGGTGGCTATGAGATGTTGACTACCTCGCCTGGTATACAGGAGGTCGTGGGCTCGATCCAGACCCTGACGATGCCTGATGCTGCTGTATATTTGTGGTCTGTGTGTCTCTCTTTCATCATCATCATCACGGTGGCTATGAGATGTTAACTACCTCGGCTGGTATACAGGAGGTCGTGGGTTCTATCCAGACCCTGACGATGCCTGCTGCTGCTGTATATTTGTAGTCTGTGTGTCTCTCTCATCATCACGGTGGCTATGAGATGTTGACCACCTCGCATGGTCTACAGGAGGTCGTGGGTTCTATCCAGACCCTGACGATGCCTGCTGCTGCTGTTTATTTGTAGTCTGTGTGTGTCTCTCATCATCTTCACGGTGGCTATGAGATGTTGACTATCTCGCCAGACCCTGACGATGCCTGCTGCTGCTGCTGTATATTTTTGACGTCTGATTCAGCTCCTACCTTTGCCATCAATCCGGGCTCCCCCCCGACCCCCCAACTCCTTGAGCTACTTGGGGCGCCTTCAGCTGTCGCTGCTCGGATTCCGCTCGCTCCGAGCGCCCCGCCGCCACTCTCTGTGGCCGCTCACGACATCGTTGTTGTTGATGTTGTTGTTGACGATGTTGTTGTTGTTGATGACGTTGTTGTTGTTGACGATGTTGTTGTTGACGACATTGTTGTTGACGATGTTGTTGACGATGATGTTGTTGTTGACGATGATGTTGTTGACGTTGTTGACGATGTTGTTGTTGACGATGTTGTTGTTGACGATGTTGTTGACGATGTTGATGATGTTGTTGACGATGTTGTTGACGACGTTGTTGACGATGTTGTTGTTGACGACGTTGTTGTTGACGACGATGTTGTTGACGACGTTGTTGACGATGTTGTTGTTGACGTTGTTGTTGACGATGTTGTTGACGTTGTTGTTGACGATGTTGTTGTTGACGACGTTGTTATTGACGATGTTGTTGCGGTCGGGGTTGTAGTGTTTGCACCGCGGCGATACAATCTCCAATCTCGCCGCCGCCGTGCGTTTATTTGTGAGTGTCAATGGCGGCGTTGTTCCGCCTCCTGCGTCCTCCCTCGCCGCTCGCGGTCTCCACCGCGTTCGCGATGTCGCGGAGCCTGTCGCCAAAGCTGCGTTCCTGTTCCTGTTCATCCCTCCCGGTCATTAGTCCCATTCGTTCCTGTTCCTGTTCGTCTCGTTCATCCCTCCCGGTCATTAGTCCCATTCGTTCCTGTTCCTGTTCGTCTCGTTCATCCGTCTCGTTCATTAGTCACATTCGTTCCTGTTCCTGTTCGTCCCGTTCATCCGTCTCGTTCATTAGTCCCATTCGTTCCTGTTCCTGTTCGTCGCGTTCATCCGTCTCGTTCATTAGTCCCATTCGTTCCTGTTCCTGTTCGTCCCGTTCATCCGTCTCGTTCATTAGTCCCATTCGTTCCTGTTCCTGTTCGTCTCGTTCATCCGTCTCGTTCATTAGTCCGATTCGTTCCTGTTCCTGTTCGTCTCGTTCATCCCTCCCGGTCATTAGTCCCATTCGTTCCTGTTCGTCTCGTTCATCCGTCTCGTTCATTAGTCCCATTCGTTCCTGTTCCTGTTCGTCCCGTTCATCCGTCTCGTTCATTAGTCCCATTCGTTCGTGTTCCTGTTCGTCTCGTTCATCCGTCTCGTTCATTAGTCCCATTCGTTCCTGTTCCTGTTCGTCCCGTTCATCCGTCTTGTTCATTAGTCCCATTCGTTCCTGTTCCTGTTCGTCTCGTTCATCCGTCTCGTTCATTAGTCCCATTCGTTCCTGTTCCTGTTCGTCTCGTTCATCCCTCCCGGTCATTAGTCCCATTCGCTCCTGTTCCTGTTCGTCTCGTTCATCCCTCTTGGTCATTAGTCCCATTCGTTCCTGTTCCTGTTCGTCCCGTTCATCCGTCTCGTTCATTAGTCCCATTCGTTCGTGTTCCTGTTCGTCTCGTTCATCCGTCTCGTTCATTAGTCCCATTCGTTCCTGTTCCTGTTCGTCCCGTTCATCCGTCTTGTTCATTAGTCCCATTCGTTCCTGTTCCTGTTCGTCTCGTTCATCCGTCTCGTTCATTAGTCCCATTCGTTCCTGTTCCTGTTCGTCTCGTTCATCCCTCCCGGTCATTAGTCCCATTCGCTCCTGTTCCTGTTCGTCTCGTTCATCCGTCCCTGTCATTAGTCACATTCGTTCCCGTTCCTGTTCCTGTTCGTCTCGTTCATCCCTCCCGGTCATTAGTCCCATTCATTCCTGTTCCTGTTCGTCTCGTTCATCCCTCCCGGTCATTAGTCCCATTCGTTCCTGTTCCTGTTCGTCTCGTTCATCCCTCCCGGTCATTAGTCACATTCGTTCCTGTTCCTGTTCGTCTCGTTCATCCCTCCCGGTCATTAGTCCCATTCGTTCCTGTTCCTGTTCGTCTCGTTCATCCCTCCCGGTCATTAGTCCCATTCGTTCCTGTTCCTGTTCGTCCCGTTCATCCGTCTTGTTCATTAGTCCCATTCGTTCCTGTTCCTGTTCGTTCGTCTCATTCATCCATCTCGTTCATTAGTCCCATTCGTTCCTGTTCCTGTTCGTCTCGTTCATCCATCTCGTTCATTAGTCCCATTCGTTCCTGTTCCTGTTCGTCTCGTTCATCCCTCCCGGTCATTAGTCCCATTCGTTCCTGTTCCTGTTCGTCTCGTTCATCTGTCTCGTTCATTAGTCCCATTCGTTCCTGTTCCTGTTCGTCTCGTTCATCCCTCCCGGTCATTAGTCCCATTCATTCCTGTTCCTGTTCGTCTCGTTCATCCCTCCCGGTCATTAGTCCCATTCGTTCCTGTTCCTGTTCGTCTCGTTCATCCCTCCCGGTCATTAGTCACATTCGTTCCTGTTCCTGTTCGTCTCGTTCATCCCTCCCGGTCATTAGTCCCATTCGTTCCTGTTCCTGTTCGTCTCGTTCATCCCTCCCGGTCATTAGTCCCATTCGTTCCTGTTCCTGTTCGTCCCGTTCATCCGTCTTGTTCATTAGTCCCATTCGTTCCTGTTCCTGTTCGTCTCGTTCATCCATCTCGTTCATTAGTCCCATTCGTTCCTGTTCCTGTTCGTCCCGTTCATCCGTCTCGTTCATTAGTCCCATTCGTTCCTGTTCCTGTTCGTCTCGTTCATCCATCTCGTTCATTAGTCCCATTCGTTCCTGTTCCTGTTCATCCGTCCCGGTCATCCGCTCCGTGTCCTCGGGCAACCGTACGACCAACGCAGGCTGCGAATTGGCCGCGACTCAGCAGGGGGCCTGCAGTGAGCAGCAGCAGCAGCAGCAGCACGAGATGTCGTCCCCCACGTGTCGCGCGTTCGCTGGGGAGAGACGCACCGGCTGATCGTCGTGAGCAGGCGGTGCGGCAGGCCGGCTTCTTGCCCATCTGTACATCGCCCGGAGGCAGGCGATAACCCCGCTCAGGTCTTGGGCCTTTCTCTACCGCCGTGGCTGACGACTTGATTTGTCGAGGAATTATTTCATCACGGGTCGCCGCTGGTGGCGGCAGCCCGCGGTCGGGATGCATGCGCTCCTCGTGAATGCCGAACTGATGTTGCACCGTGCCTGGTAGCCAAGGGGTGCTAATCGGAGACAGGACCATCGCGAGCGGGGTAATGGATGATGATGATGATGCTGATCACGATGGCAACAGCCACGTGCACTGTAACGTCTCTCTCTCTACCTCCC